CAACCCCGCTGCCCGTCCTCGGTTAACCCTGGCTCTCTTCCTCCCCAAGGCCCCCAATCCCGTCCTCTCCTCAGCTCTGCTGCACACACACCCCGACCCTGGGCCCACTCGCTGGCTACCTGCGCCCGTCGCCTCTCCCGCCAGCCTGCAGCCACTATGGGGTTAAGGCCGGGGGCGGAACGGCGCCTGGGAGCACACTGGGAGCTGCGGTCGCTGCTCCAGCGCCCGATGGGAAGTGTAGTTCCTCAGGTAGGTGGCAAAGACTGTTCCGGGTGGGGTCCCCGAGCTTGGGGGCTTGGGGTGTGGGAAAGGCTTTGGGGCAGTCACCTGGCTGGGGGGTGGCGGAAGAACCTGGCTTCCCGCTGCCCGGCGCCGGCGGGATCCGGCGTCAGGTCTGAGGTCCCGGGTTGCAGCTGTCTGTGTGGCTGTAATAAGCCACCCGGCTAGTCCGGGACCGGGTCGGCACTCCCAGCAGGAAACAGAAGCACCGTCCCAAAGCAGAGGCGCCTGCAGCTGTGCGCAGAGCGCGAACAGGTGCGCGATAAATGCAGGCTCTGGGGACCCGGTGGTGGCTCTAAGTTTCAACGCTAGTCAGACGTAACAAGTAAACATCATCACCACGGGTGATGAAGTGTAGCCAAGCAGCCAAAGGCAGGAGCCGAGAGCGGAACCTACTTCCGATATGGAGGAGGGTCTCTCTGCGATGACATTTAGGCTGAAACCTCAGAAGGAGCCATCCGGAAAAGAGAGGGGACGACGAGTCGCTACGGCAGGCGGGAAGAACTGCCAGTGCAAAGGCTTGGAGGCTGGAAAGCGAGCGATTGGCCCACTCAAAGAAGGTGGCTGGGGGTAGTGCTGAGAGGTGAGGACAGACACACAAGCAAGGGCTGGTCTGGTCTGGTCCGACCTCTGGAGGCCTCTGTAAGGAGCTGGCCTTTCATCCTAAGTGTAGCAGGCACTGGTGCCTGACCCACAGCCAGGATTCATACCACTTCTTCCTCCCCCCTTAATCTATTTATTCATTTACTTTGACAGAAGTATTTAAAATGAGACAATGCCTTTATCGAGCTAGTAAAGTTAACAACTTTTTTTTTTTTTTAATATTTATTTATTTATTTTGGCTGCACCGGGTCCTAGTTGTAGCATGCTGGATTTAGTTCCCTGACCAGGGATCGACTCCAGCTCGGAGTCTTAGCCACTGCACCACCAGGGAAGTCCCAACAATAACTTCTTAATATTACCTAATACTTAGCCCACATTCGGATTTCCCTAATTGTCCGCAAAATGTCTTTGATAGCTAGTTTGTTCAAGGCAGAGACCAAATAAGGATTCTGTGTCTCTTCAGTCACTTTAATCTAGATGGAACCACCCTCCCCACCTCTTACCCACCTCACCTCCTTTTTTTTGGTCTTCATGATACTGATCTTTCTGAAGATTCCAAGCCAGTTGTCCTTTGAGATGCCCCATCACATTCTGGATTTGTCTGATGTTTCCTTGGGTGTCGTTAACTTGTTCCTCTATCTCTAGTTTTCCCTGCACACCAGAAATTAGATCTAAAGCTTGGAAATACATATGTCTCCTGGGTGCTGCTCTGTACTCCAAACTGCATCACATTAGGAGGCACCCAACATCTGGTTGTCTCACTTTAGTGAGGCTGAAATTGATCACTGGTGAGGCTCTGACAGCCAGACTTCTATGTTGTAAAGGTATGTTTCATACCTTGTGACCACTAAGTAATCTATGGGGTGATTTCTTTGTTTTGTTGGTCTATTTTTGCTTGTTTAAATTAAGCTAAAATGTACATACAGTAAAATTCATCCTTTTTAGAGTGTGAGTTTTTTGTTTTGTTTGTTTTTGGTAGGTTTTTTTTTTTTTTGGTGGCACCTTACAGCATGCAGGATCTTAGTTCCCCAGCCGGGACTGAACCCGTGGCCCCCTGCATTGGAAGCGTGGAGTCTTAACCACTGGACCGCCAGGGAAGTCCCTAGAGTGTGAGTTTTTTTTTTTTTTTTTTTTTTTTTTGCGTTACACGGGCCTCTCACTGTTGTGGCCTCTCCCGTTGCGGAGCACAGGCTCCGGACGCGCAGGCTCAGCGGCCATGGCTCACGGGCCCAGCCGCTCCGCGGCATGTGGGATCTTCCCGGACCGGGCCACGAACCCGTGTCCCCTGCATCGGCAGGCGGACTCTCAACCACTGCGCCACCAGGGAAGCCCTAGGGTGTGAGTTTTGACAAATTCATACACTCATAATCATCACCACAATCAAGAGAGAATACATTTCTATCACCCCCGTAAAATTTGCCCATGCACCTTTTTAGTCAACACTTACACCGTACTCGCTGGCAACCACTGATCTGTTTTCCGCCCCTATAGTTTTTTGCCAATATCATACACAGGCATATCTCATTTTATTGCGCTCCACTTTATTGCACTTAACAGATATTGCATTGTTTTTTACAAATTGAAGGTTTGTGGCAATCCTCCATTGTCAGATGATGGTTAGCATTTTTTAGCAATAAAATATTTTTAAAATTTATTTTCTTGAAGTATAGTTGATTTACAATGTTGTATTAGTTTCTGCTGTACAGCAAAGTGATTCAGTTATACATTTATATATATATTCTTTTTAATATTCTTTTCCATTATGGTTTATTACAAGATATTGAATATAATTCCCTGTGCTATACAGTAGAACCTTGTTGTTTATCCATTCTATATATAATGGTTTGCATCTGCCAATCCCAAACTCCCAATCCATCCCTCGCCCACACCCCCAGCAGTAAAGTATTTTTTAATTAGGGTTTGTACATTGTTTTTTTAGACACAATGCTATTGCACACTTAATAGACTACAGTATAGTGTAAACAAAACTTTTCTATGCACTGGGAAACCAAAAAGTTCATGTGACTCACCTTATTGCCATACTTGCTTTACTGCAGTGTTCTGGAACCAAACCTGCAGTTAACTCCGAGGTATGCCTGTACATGGAATCTTCAGCCCATAGCCTTGTGCATCTGCTTTCTTCCTCATAGCATAATGCATTTGAGAACCATCCATGTTGTTATGCTTATCAATCAGTTCATTCCTTTTTTTTTTTTTTTTTTGCAGTACACGGGCCTCTCAATGTTGTGGCCTCTCCCGTTGCAGAGCACAGGCTCCGGACACGCAGGCCCAGTGGCCATGGCTCACGGGCCCAGCCTCTCCGCGGCATGTGGGATCTTCCCGAATCGGGGCACGAACCTGTGTCCCCTGCATCGGCAGGCGGACTCTCAACCACTGTGCCACCAGGGAAGCCCCTAGTTCATTCCTTTTTATTGCTGAGTAGTATTCCACTGTGTAGACGTACCAGTGTGTTTATCCACTTACCAGCTGAGGGACATTGGGTTGTTTACACGTGGTGATTTTTTTAGCACCACTCAAATACCCAGTTTCACATCACATCAACCTTTCACCTAATGGCTTTATCATCACTGGTGATCCTTGCCTCAATCAAGTATTTAATTGGGAGTTACAAAATGGTGATTTTCTGATTCTGTCATTCCTTCTACATTAGCTGGAATTCTTCTATAAAGAAGAGATTTACTTCATTGACTAGGGTTATTTGGGTATTCTGAAATACTAAAAAGACAGGATAAATTCTGAAACCCTTCTCTTTAATTATCAATTTTTAGACTAAGAATTTGGTGCAGTAATATCCAATGGTGACAAATTAGAATTGATTTGCGGGGGTTATCTTTTATGGACTCATAGATTTTTTTCCACATTTAATATCTTTAAATTTGTTGCAATCTTTATCTTTTACCCCCACTTATTGAAAGAGTACTGTATTAGTCTTTGGGGCTATACAAACAGGGATATACAATTCCCATCTTTAAAAAAGGCTGGTAAAAGGTGGGTAGTAAATACAAAATTAATGCAATGCTACAATAGCAATGAGAGGAGATTCTACGGGATTCTGTGACAACACAGAAGAGGGAATGCTACCTAGGAAACCAAGTTCGTATTATACATTTGATGAGACTTGGAAATTTCTTTGTGACTTTTTTGTCTGCCACTTTATTTGTGCTTTGTTTATTCCGTTTTTCGTTTTGTCTTCTTTTTCTTGCCCTCCTGTGGGCTACTTGAACATCTTTTAGAATTCCAGTTTGACTTACCTATATTGTCTTTGAGTGTGTTATACTACATACCCTTTGAAGTGGTTGCTGTAGGTATTACACTATACACACGTATGTACTTGTCACAGTTCACTGGTGTCAACATTTTATCAATTTGAGTATAGAAAAACCTTACTTCCCTTTACCCTCCCTTGCTTATAATAACCTTAAATATCCATTTTACATACACTGAGAACCACATCTAACAGTATTTTGTTTTGCTTCAACTGTCGAACATATTTCAAAATACTCAAGAGAAGGAAAGTCTACTGCATCCATGTTTTTAGTCTTTCCATTGTTCTTCCTTCCTGATGTTTCAAGATTTCTTCTTCTATCATTTCCTTTCCGTTTGGAGATCCTCCTTTAGCCTTTTTTTTAAAAAAATTTTATTTTATATTGGAGGATAGTTGCTTTACAATGTTGTGTTAGTTTCAGGTGTACAGCAAAGTGATTCAGTTATACATATACATATATCTATTCTTTTTCAGATTCCTTTCCCATATAGGTCATTACAGAGTATTGAGTAGACTTCCCTGTGCTATACAGTAGGTCCTTGTTGATTATCTATTTTATAAATAGTAGTGTGTATATGTTAATCCTGACCTCCCAGTTTATCCCTCCCCCCCACCTTTCCCCTTTGGTAACCATAAGTTTGTTTTCTAAATCTGTGAGTCTGTTTCTGTTTTGTAAATAAGTTCATTTGTATCATATTTTAGATTCCACATATAAGTAATATCATATGACACTTGTCTTTCTTTGTCTGACTTACTTCACTTAGTATGATAATCTCTAGGTCGATCCATGTTGCTACAAATGGCATTATTTCATTCTTTTTTATGGGTGAGTAATATTCCACTGTATATAGGTACCGCATCTTCTTTATCCATTGATGGACATTTAGGTTGTTTCCATGACCTGGCTATTGTAAATAGTGCTGCAGTGAACACTGAGGTGCATGTATCTTTTTGAATCATGGTTTTCTCTGGATATGTGCCCAGGAATGGGATTGCTGGATCATATGATAGCTCTGTTTTTAATTTTTTAAGGAACCTCCACACTGTTCTCCATAGTGGCTGTACCAATTTACATTCCTACCAACAGTGTAGGAAGGTTCCCTTTTCTCCACACCCTCTCCATCATTTATTGTTTGTAGACTTTTTGATGATGGCCATTTTAACTGGTGTGGAGTGATACCTCACTGTACTTTTGACTTGCATTTCTCTAATAATTAGCAACGTAGAGCATCGCTTTTCATGTGCTTTTTGGCCATCTGTGTGTCTTCTTTGGAAAAATGTCTATTTAGATCTTCTGCCCATTTTTTCATCAGGTTGTTTGTTTTTTTTAACAATTTATTTTTTATATATTTATTTATTTTATTATTTTATTTTTTTGGCTGTGTTGGGTCTTTGTTGCTGCGCACCGGCTTTCTCTAGTTGCAGCGAGTGGGGGCTACTCTTCGCTGCGGTGCACCGGCTCCTCGTTGCAGTGGCTTTTCTTGTTGCGGAACACGGGCTCCAGGTGCGCAGGCTTCAGTAGTTGTGGCATGTGGGCTCAGTAGTTGTGGCTCGCAGGCTCTAGAGCACAGGCTCAGTAGTTGTGGCGCACGGGCCCAGTTGCTCCGCAGCATGTGGGATCTTCCCGGACCAGGGCTTGACCCGTGTCCCCTGCCTTGGCAGGCAGACTCCCAACCACTGTGCCACCAGGGAAGCCCTGTTTGGTTTTTTGATATTGAACTGCATGAGTTGTTTGTATATTTTGGAGATTAATCCCTTGTCAGTCGCATCGTTTGCAAATATTTTCTCCCATGCTGTGGGTTGTCTTTTTGTTTTGTTTATGGTTTCCTTTTAGCCTTTTTATTTTTAGATTAGGTCTGCTGGTGACAAATTATATTAGTTATCCTTCATCTGTGAACGTCTTGATTTCCCTCTTTACTCTTTTTTAAAATGCCTGACAATTTTGTCATTTTTCAAATTGAAGTATAGATGATTTACAATACTATATTAGTTTCAGGTGTACAACATAGTGATCCAATATTTTTATAATTATACTCCATTTAAAGTTATTATCAAACATTGACTGTATATCCTGTGCTGTACATATGTCCTTGAAGCTTATTTATTTTACACATAGTAGTTTGTACCTCTTAATCCTCTATTCCTATCTTGCCCCACCCCCTTCTGTCTCCCCACTGGTAACCACTAGTTTGTTCTCTATATCTGTTAGTCTATTTGTTTTGTTATATTCATTCATTTCATTTATTAGATTTCACATATAAGTGATATCATACACTATTTGTCTTTCTGTAACTTATATCACTAAGCATAATACCCTCCAGGTCCATCCATGTTTTTGTAAATAGCAAAATTTAATTATTTCTTATGGCTGAGTGATATCATACACACACACACACACACACACACACACACACACACACACACTGTGAACACTGGGGTGCAAGTATGTTTTTGAATTAGTGTCTTTGTCTTCTTCAGATAAATACCCAGAAGTAGGAATGCTGGATTACATTGTAGTTCTATTGCTAGTTTTTTGAGGAACCTCCATACTGCTTTCACAGTGGCTACACCAATTTACATTCAGACCAACAATGTACAAGGGTTCCCCTTTCTCCACATCCTTGCCAACATTTGTTATTTGTGATCTTTTTGATAGTCATTCTGACGGGTGTGAGGTGATATCTCATTGTGGTTGTGATTTGCATTTCTCTAATAATTGGTGATGCTGGGCATCTTTTCATGTGCCTGTTGGCCATCTCTATGTCTTCTTTGGAAAAATATCTTTTCAGGTCTTCTGCCCATTTTTTAATCGGGTTGCTTGTTCTTTTGATATTGAATTGTATGAGCTATTTATATATTTTGAATATTAACCCCTTATCGGTCATATCATTTGCAAATATTTTCTCCCATTCTGTAGATTGTCTTTTCCTTTTGTCAGTGGTTTCCTTTGCTGTGCCAAAGCTTTACGTTTAATTAGGTGCAATTTGTTTAATTTTGCTTTTGTTTCCTTTGCCTTAGGAGACAGATCCAAAAAAATATTGCTACAATTTATGTCAGAGTGTTCTGCCTACATTTTCTTCGAGCTTTATGGTATCCAGTCTTACATTTAGGTCTTTAATCCATTTTGAGTTTATTTTTGTAAATGGTGTGAGAAAAATGTTCTAATTTCATTCTTTTACTCCCCCTTTACTCTTGAGGTGATTTTCACTGAATATAAAAATCTGGGTTGACACTTCTTTTCTTTCAGGGCCCGAAACGTGTTGCGCTTTTTGTTTCTGGCCTTTGTGGTTTCTGATGAGATATTCAGTCATTTGAGTTGTTTCCCCCCCATATGTAAGGCGTCATCACTCTCGTGCTGCTTTCAATTTTTTTTTTCTTTAGTTCTCAGAAGTTTTATTATGACGTATCTTGACATAGATTTCTTTGGGTTCAACCTGTCTGGAGTTCATTCATTTTCTTGACTCTGTAGGTTTGTGTCTTTTGCCATATTTTGGAAAATTTTAGCCATTATTTCTTTGAATACTTTTTCTGTCCTACCTTCTTTCTCCTCACCTTCTGGGACTCTGACAACACAAATACTAGATCTTTTGTTATAGTCCTACAGGTCCCTGAAACTCTGTCTTATTGGATTTTTGTTGTTGTTGTTGTTTGTTTTCCAAACTATTTTCTCTCTGTTGTTCAGGCTGGGTAATTTCTATTGATTTATCTTCAAATCCACTGATTCTTTCTTCTGTTGTTAAGTCTACCCATTGAGATTTTTACTTGGGTTATTGTAGTTTTCAGTTCTAAAATTTTTATCTGGTTCTTTATATCTTCTCTTTCTCTGCTGAGACTTGAGGCATTTTTATGATAGCTGTTTTAAAATCCTTAGCATAGAATTCTAACAGCTGAGTCATTTTGGTGTTGGCATTTGTTGTCTTTTTTCATTCACGTTGAGATTTTCTTGGTTCTTGGTACAACGATTTTTTAAATTGAATCCTAGACATTTTGGGTATTATGAGACTGCATCTTATTTAAATCTTCTCTTTTAGCAGGCCTCCTCTGACACAGTACCAGTGGGGAAAGGGGTATGCCACCTCCTTATTGCTGGATGGGGTGGGAGTCTAGGATTCCACTCAGCCTTTGCAGTCAGGGGTCGAAGAAGGGCTGCAGTTCTGCAGGGTGTGGCTGGAGTACAGCCGTTACTGTCTGTAACTTTTTCTGTCCTGCTGGACTGTCCTTTTCCCGGTCCTTTGCCTAGAGAGAGTAGGCTTTTGTTGGGCCTTCCTTTGTCTGTGTGTTGTTTCTAGGTGGATGGCTTCTCCAGCTCCCAGCTTGGGATACATGAAGCAAAAAGAAAATCTAAGGAATTCTCTGCTGTGTTGTTCTTCAGGTCTTGAGGTCTAGCCAGTCTGCCTTCTTCTCATCACCTTTCATAGTCTTGTTTGTTTTATATATAACGTCTAAGGTTTTTAGCTGAACTTAGTGGAAGGAATAGAGAAAAGCCCATCTGCTCCATTTCTCCAGAAGCAGAAGCCAGGAGGGGAGTGAGTCCTTATATCTTTGATGCTTAAATTGTCCCATCTTTAGCCAGTGGGATGAGCTGGCTCCTGTTGACATGACTTATTATTCTTTGACAGCTTCCTTGGACCCCGAGATGCTCTAGGCTTACCTTGTATTCTCCCTGCCCCACACCTGGAATCAGTCTGTTCTACAAGGGACCCTAGCTGGCCTAAGCCAGTCCTGGGAGGCCATTTGTCTTAGTCTGTTCAGGCTGCTATAACAAAACACCATGGACTGGGTGGCTTAAAAAACAGACATTTAGGGACTTCCCTGGTGGTGCAGTGGTTAAGAATCCACCTGCCAATGCAGGGGACATGGGTTTGAGCCCTGGTCCAGGAAGATCCCACGTGCCGCAGAGCAGCAAAGCCCGTGTGCTACAACTACTGAGCCTGCACTCTAGAGCTCGTGAGCCACAACTACTGAGCCTGCGTGCCCTGGAGCCTGTGCTCCGAAACAAGAGAAGCCACTGTAATGAGAAACCTGTGCACCGCAACAAAGAGTAGCCTCCGCTCGCCGCAACTAGAGAAAGCCCGTGCACAGCAGTGAAGACCCAACACAGCCAAAAAATAAATTATTTATTTATTTATTTTTTAAAAAGTCCAATAAACCAGACATTTATTTCTCGTAGTTCCAGAGGCTGGGACGTCCAAGTTCAAGTCAGAATCAGTTCTTGGTGAGGGCTCTCTCCTTCCTTGTTAGACAGCTATCTTCTCGCTATGTTCTCATATGGCCTTTCCATGGTATAGAGAGTCTGTCTTCCTTTTCTTATGAGTGCTAATCATCACAAGGGTCCCACTCTCATGACTTCATCTGAACCTAATTATTCCCCAAAGCCCCACCTCCTAAAACCATCTCACTGGGAGTTGGGGCTTAGACATATGAATTTGGCAGGGGGTGGGGAATGGGTGCATCACATTCAGCCCATTATCCCATTCCACTTGCCAGTGAGTGGTTCCGGCATGGGCCTTCTGTCTTCCTAAAGAAGACAGAGAGGCAAGGGCTCTCTCCTTTCTCTACCTGGGGTATCTGGTGTTGGGGCCAACCACTTGCTGCCAGCCTAAGGACGGGGCCAGCACAGAGAGGGCAGAGCCAAGAGCATCATAGGACTGGGAGCTAGAACCCTGATTTTCCTGTCTACAGACAAGCTGTTTCATTTTGGCTCTCGTTCTGCCTCAACCCTGACCTGCCTCAATCAGCAGCTGAGCAAAGAAAAAAGAAAACGTGCAATAGGTCAGGGAGGTCAGTATGTCACTTGGTCTCTCTCATGAAAACCTCTGATCTGAACCCAAAAGAAATCCATGCACACACTTTACATTTCTTACACTTCTGTTTATTCTTCCTTCTCATGAAAACCACTGACATGTGCCTTTCATGGGGGAGGGAAGACAATGCTGCAAGAGTGTTCAGCATCCCTAGGCTGAATTCTCAGGTGGTAACCTAGGAAGGCAGACATCCAGGAGGCCAGGCCCCTAGGGTCCTGGAGCTGGGGCAACCCCTGAAGAGAAGTTCAGAGGGCAGCTCCACATGGGCCCCATGAGCTCTTTTTCTCAGCCCAGGGAGCTCATCAGGGTCTGGGCCTGCTTCAGTTCTGCAGGGGCAAGAGGTAGGCAGGCAGGTGGCAATTAGGCAGGATCTGGGAGGGCCCCTTACCCTCCAGGTACAGCTGAGCCTCACCTGCCAGAAGGACCTGGAACTTGTCTGCTGAGAGGGACATGGTAACAGGCTGGGCCGGGGAACCCGAGGCAGCTGCCACCTCCAGCCGCAGGTGCACCATGGGCTCTTCCACGGACCACAGCAGGCTAGAACTCAGGGTGTAGTCCACCCGCCAGCCCACGCCTGTCAGCCTATTCACTGCAAGACCGAAAGGGGCTCAGGGTCACAGGCAGGGGAGCCAGGCAGCCCTAGCCCATACCCTGGTTCAGCCCTGAATGCTTCAGGGCTATGTGGCCTTTGAGAAGCTCTCATCCCTCTGATCCAGGAGCTCAGATTACCCATAGCAGATCTCAGAGGAAAGAAACCGGGGCTGGTGTCAGGAATCCCAGCTCTGACTGCTCGACATGTGATGTGGTTAAGTCTCCTTTCTGAGGACAAACACCTCCCAAGCCACATGCACCTTCTAGAATGGAGCCCAGCCCCCACCCGGGCACCCCACACTCACCTCGCAAGCTGCAGGCCCGCAGGTGCTCCTGCAGGGAGCTTTGCTTCTCCTCATAACAGCGACACAGGCTGGCTGCATGCTCTGGGGGCCGAAGGGAGGTCCCCTGAGCTAGCAGGTGGGTGCTGGGGCTTAGGCCACTCAAAGGGCAGGTCTCAGGCTCCTGGCCCAGAGAGGGCAAGGTGCATCTCAGGGTCACACAGCCTGACCTTTGCCTGGCACCCCTTGGCCCACAGGTTACCCACCTGCCTGCCCTCATCCCCGTACCTTTGGGCAGCCCCAGCTGCTGCAGTTCACTGGACAAGGACTCGCCATCCACGCTATGCTTGGCCGCATTGGAGAGGATGAAACTCAGCACTGCCACTGTGGCCTTCACATCACCCGACTCTGGGGGGAGCCGTGGGTGGAATGGGGAGTGTCACTGTGGCCCCAGCCACCTCCTTGACACCCCACTATCTTCAGCTCAGAGTCCCCAGGCCTCCTTGAGCCATGAGCACCACTACTGCCCCACTGGGAGCGGGCAGAGGACCCTAGGGCTGGCAATGTCTTTCTTCCCTCATGCTCCTCTGCTGAGGCAGGCGGGTCAGAGTGGGCTTTTGGGAGGAGGGGCCTCTGTGCCAGGCCCCAGGCTGAATACCCGGGTTTGCCCAAAGGTCTGCGGACCCAGTGGGGTACTCACCAAACCTGGCATCAGCGGTGAGCTTCAGGATCTTCTCATACTGTGGAGAAAGGAGGCCCTCAAGGGGTGCCGGACCCCTGCTCACTAGCCCCCAACCCCTGGCCTGGATCCTGTGGTAAGGACACGAGGTATCCAGGGAGGGTGGGAGCTGATCACCCGTCTCCCTGGGTCTGGTGCACTTTCAGGGCAGTGGGGGTCACAGGGTCATGGGACAGTGGGGTGAGGGGCCCTGTACTCACATCAATCCCCTGTCCCAGAAGGTCCTTCAGCACCTGGCTACACAGCAGCCTCAGCTTCACGGAGGACTGGAGGGGAAGGCCTTACATCAGCCAGACTGACCCACCTCACCCCTCCATGCTGGTGGGCTGGCTCAGAGAAGGCTGGCCACATAGCTGATCAGTCACACAGCATGTTCGGATAGCCCGAGAGCGCTGAGGCCCCAGCTCTTGTGACCTCCCTACCCTCCACCCTCAGAGCCCCCAGCCGCAATCCCTCTCTGCCCCCACCCCCAAGACCCCATGCACTCAACAATTTTGGCCAGCGTGCTGATCTCTGCCAGGACCCAGTCAGGACAGTCCAGGTCACCACAGAACCGGAACCTCTGCAAGGGAGTAAGGTAGGTGGTCAGGCTGGAGGGCCGGCTGACGTATGGCCAGGTATCTCCCACGCTACCGCTCTT